TAAAACAATGGGAGAAGTGTGTCACTTGGTGGGACCTGTGTAGAGAAAAACTAATAAGTGTACAATGTTTTATTCCTATACGCCAATGGGAAGTGGGTCAAGGGAAATCTTTAATGAGAGCCCCTTGTAGGAAAGGAGGGACTTCACAGTCTAAACAATCTGTATGATAATTTCTTTTTAGGTGATTTTTGTATTCTTGAAATGCATGCTTAGTCAAACCAATTCTTTCTTTGATATTTTTTGCTATCTAATGTTATCCAGTTTCTCAGGTAACTGAACTTTGCAACTTTTTCATATTTTTTATATTTCAAGGCAACACTTTAGTGTTGGTTTGCTCTATGCTGTCACTGTACATTGTGTTAGCTATTTGGAATTTGATGTCTCAAACCAAAATGATCTCTAGTTACTTCATTATATATTTGTTTAGAAGCCATGCCACTCTTCCAAAACTAGGAACCTCAAAGGAATAAGTTAATAGATAAATAGATAGGTTGCAAATAAATCCAATAAATTTCATTACCTAATTCCCTAATGGCTTAGTATATGATGCTTGGGTTGAGGTCATAATGTAAGAAATTAAGTGATTTTATAGGGGATGTCAAAAAAATAAATAAATGAATAAAATAAATAAAAGTTCACAAGTCAATAAGCTACTGTATTGAATGTTGCATATTCATTATTTTTTTTATTTCTTTCCATTTCTCTGCACGATACTTTGTTTGTGTTGCAATGTTATTTATGTTTGAAGGATTATATGATTATATTTATCAATGACAACTCAATGTACCTAAGCATATCATAAAAAACATGAGCTGTACTCAGTATAGGATTATTGAAGGGGCCAAAATAACCGTTCGTACCTCAGAATCCCTAAGTGAAGCACCCGCTTACCCACAGCCTCTCTATCCTTCTCTTCATCCAGGGAAGTGCATGTACCTGTCAGGCTTGATCCCCGAGCCCTTCACAGCGTATGATGACTTCAGATTGCTTGACTACGGCATAGGCTTCACCAACATAGTGGCTAGAACGACACGGGGCTCAGCCAACCTAACGAGAGAGGAGATTAAAAAAGGTAATTTTTTAGTCTTTTTAATTTCCTATGGAGGTTGTAGAAGATATGTATCTATGTATCTTCTATTTTTATTTTTTACCAGTTTGTTATTGTCTGCGAGGTTTTGTATTTTTATAATGTAGTGTTTATCGTTGAGAGAATAAACTAAAGTTGATTTTCACAACAGATATAACATTTTCTGGTTTCCCTTTGTATTTTCTCTTGTAAATATTTAAAATGCATCATTAATTGGTCTACAGAATGGCCAGAAAGTTAGATTTAGTATGAGATCCATGATTACTTTGTGTCTCTTCTACAGGGAGTGAGATCCTTTTAGCTAAGTTAAAGGAGTACCAGCCACGAATTGCTGTGTTCAATGGTAAGGGGATATATGAGATATTTTCGGGCAAGAAGCAGTTCAACTTTGGAAAACAGCCAGAGATGGTTGATGGAACAAATACAGTTAGTATGATTTCTTCTGAGTAATTTGTTATTTATTGGAAATAAAGAATTGATGATATTGATATTAGTAATAATAAGGATCATGTCAATTAGAAATTTTATAGTAAGGATAACGGATGACGAATAAATGCGGGTCAAAAGTCAACTCATACATGCAAACAAATGAATATGCACACTATTCATTCTTCAGAAGACAAAATTTTATTACTTTTCCTCATTTAACAGCACATATGGGTAATGCCTTCCTCATCTGCAAGATGTGCCCAGCTCCCGAGGGCTTTGGACAAAGTCCCCTTTTACTCCGCACTTCGCAAGTACCGTGACTACCTGAAAGGCATTATTCCTGAAGTTAACGAAGAGGAGATAACTTTTTCACACGTGAGACTATCCAACCCCAAGACGCCAGTGAAGCAAGAAGTGAAGTTGGAGGAAGATGACATAGGAGAACCAAAGAAAACCTTTTGTTCGGAGTCGGCAAAGGCACTCAAGGCCTTTAAGGGAAGTATTAAGAGTGAGCAAACTGAATGCGGCATAAAGTCAGAAAATCCATCTTAACAACTTCATGCTTAGTCCAAAGTAAGTTTTACAGTATTGAGAGGGTGAACATGAGCCATGAGTTTTCTTGCAAGTGTTTTTTCCTTTGGCAAGAGAGGACATTACAAGAATTGTGTCTATAATGTTCTTTTTTATTTTATTTTATTTATTTCTTCTTTCTTTCTTTTTCTTTCCCATATACCTTACCCTAATCCTTTTAAATTTTTCCCATAGAATTAATATTAATTTTATCAACCAGTTGTGCACTTTCTCGCACATCACTTTTCTATTTGTCTCTCTCTCTGTAGCAGCTTTGATTTTCCACTGGAGTGATTAGCAGAACCTCATGCTTTGTAACCCCTCATTGAAGGTAAATGAGTAACCATGTGTAGGGATCAATTATGAACTACGTAGCTTTAATGAGACCTGTCACTAATGGGCACGGGTCTATGC